TCTTTTTACATAACTATTTAGAAAGGTGAGAGGCAACTAGCTTCACACAAGTTTGTCTTTTTGTGTGACTTTTTGTAGGGAAATGGAACCTTTTACCGGAGATCAGGCAATAGATGATGTCGAAATAAATGCACATATTGTGCTGAGTACTTTGTCACATAATACACTGTCTCTATTTCTCAGGAACAATCGTCCTTTTCAAAGAATATGATGACATTTTTAGAGATAATTTCTACATCAGATAATTTTTGTTTGGAAAAAATATTGCTTTCAGTCTTCAAGACTTTTTTTTGTTTTCTAACCTCTAAAGACAAGATCTCCATAATATTGACAATGTAGTTTTTCAGCACATAGAAAACAGAACTATCATATTTTTTGGATTAAGCAGAATGATAGAAAGTAAACTATTCTCTACAAAATGAAACGCTTTTGAGTTCTCTATGACATGGATTAGCCGAGAAAAGCTACGTATGAATCATTTGTATGATTGTTGTATCTCAGCTAAAACACATCTCAGAGAACTTAGGCACATCTCATTTTGTAATGAACAGTTCGCTTTCTATCATTTCACGTGTGTCTTGGGAAAGTACATTGTCGATTTTGTGGATACCTTAACTTTGGAAATTACTTAGTAGTATTTCTTTTCGTCTATTTTATTCTAAACAATTTTCTCTATTGGACACATTATTTACATTCGTTTTAACTAAGCATTTTCAGTATTTAACCAAAATTTAAACAGTCCAATTTTTTTCTCATTTTCTGAATATTTCATTCATAAAATAAACGTAGAAACAAGATCTAAATGCATCAGACGCGTAGTATCAATTATTCGCATTGAATGCAGATTGAAATATTTCGTCTCAAATCAAAAATACCAGTGAAAAGGTCTTTTGTCCTAAATTTTTCGGGTATTCTTATATCTGTCAATATTGTTAAGATCAATAGGTCAACGGTTTTGAATCTGAAGAAAAAACCGTCAAACAGTAAAGTTTAGTGAACTGCGGATATGGCATGATGCCGATTACTGATATAGACTTCACTGATTCCGAGGAAATGAATCGGAGTAACTGACAAGAGAGCTATAGTGCAAAATAAAACGAAAGCAATTGTTGGCGGAAATCATAGATGTTCACAGGGTAACACGTTCATATCTTGACCTAATTCATTGGATCGAATATGGCATAGCACGATTCTCTACAAAACCAATACGCTGTCTTGGTTGTATTTTTTAGTCGAGTTCAAAAAGAATCACGTTGGTAAATTCCAAAAGTATGCCTTTAATATACTAATGCATTTGTTCAATCACTATCTTCAAGATGAAATCTTTGATCTTTTTTCAATTAGAATTAATTTATTTGTTCAGAAATATTAGAATTTGAAGAAGATGAAGTCAAGTCATTGAAAAGAAAACAGAGACGACAAATAAGATGCATCATCAGGATCAGAAACAAACAGCAAGTAAATATCATCATCAAAACAAAGTAATGTAGAACACATGAATTAATCTTTTGCGTTAACGTCGTAAAAAAACGAGAATATAAAATATAAACACAATTTTACAATTGCCGTTTTATTTATTTATTACTACTATTGGATTCGAATTAACATGTATAGATGCAAACTGTACATGTCTGCTGATATAACTCACAGAATTCCATTCTCAAATTTTGACACTTGAAAACTGAACGAATACTTCTTCTGAAGATGAAAACATCGATATTTGATGTTCAACTGTCTCGGGTAAAAAAGCACTGAGCCCGTTCTATGAATATCTCTGGTGATACGCAATGAACAGAATTTTCTGCAAATATTAATTGATTCAATATTCAGTGAGTATAATATATTTCAAGCGATATGAAGTTTTGATGGCATCAAAATATCATTTAGTTTTCTAACTAGGCACTCTTTGTCAACATTAACATATCAGGAGCGAACCACTCATAGTAAACTAGTCCTTTCCATATATTATTACAATCATTGATCAACGGCACTGACATTAGTTATTTTCAAGACAATAGTATTATTCAAAATCTACTATTGCTGTTGAATTCTATTGGTAGTAAGTGAAACATTATATTGAATATCTGACCATTCAATATCATGCAAAGCAAACTTTCAGAGAATTATGATGTTTGCTGTTGAAGAGAATGTAATAGACGACTTACTATAAATAGTGCACGTTTTTTTTTCATATAAGAAACAAGTAATTTTGCTCGGCAAGTTTTGAAAAAAAACAGAAATAATCAGAATCGAATTAAATATTGGAAATATCACTTCATTGACATTAGTTACCTTTTCTTTAATCCGTGAACCAATTAGAAATAACAGGAAAAAATGACAATGATTTTTCTTCTACTATTTTGGTTAGAGTTCTACAGTGTGGTTTATATGTATCTCAAAACGATAAACAACATAACTACGTAGTTTAATACAGTGCCAGTACATATAATTTGTAAGCACTCATATTGAGAACAATCAATAGTTTGGAAAGGCAAGATCTTTTTTTTAACGAAAACTTCACCTGATGACAAATCTTTGCAGAATTCGAAAAAGCATTTTCACGCTCTGCATAGTCTAGTAGAATCATGATAAAGTTCAAAAGGTTGCTATATTATATGTAGTTTTCACAACAACATGCATACTTTTAATTTACATCTCTTTTTTTTCGCAGACGGAACCAGTATTTTATAATAAATTATCTCTCTAATAAGTCTCAGGAAAAGAACAAAAAACATCAGATGATGATGTAAAATGCAAAAAAAAGGCGTTTTGTGCAATGTTTATTATGTACAATTCTGTTTGCACATCTGTCATAACTCTCGAATAAAAACTAAGAGTTTATTGGGTTTCTTTTTCTTTCGATCCTGTACCTTATATGCTTTTCCATTAGTGTGCTTCTTATCAGTCAGAAAAATTATAGATATTTTATTATATTCTTTTCTTCTAGTGAAGTATCTGAGATAAAATAGTGAGAAACTACAGAGATTACGTGTGTCAAAACATCGCTCTAGAAATAAAAAATACATTAGAATATCATCCCAACATATTGTAATTGAGTGAACATTTTGAAGAGTCATTCGGATAGTTTATTACGCGTCTGGAACAGTCAATCCTAAGCCTTCCATAATCATTGTTAAAAATACGTAAGTATCACAAGTTGATCATTGAAAATCAAGAGAAATACAATGGATACATTTTTATATATACGATTGAAAACACTGTCTTGAATTTGAAAAAAAAAACTTTTACTTGTAACACTGAATATTTTAGATAGGTATACATCATGGAATCAATTATCATTTTGCTAACCTTTTGAATTAATTATCATAGTTGAAAAGAGGTATATTTACATTATAATCTTCAATTTTTTTTCGGAATTCACATTAATTCAAACATACTTTTGTTCAGTATGATGTCATATCATACTGATACTTTTAACTACAGTAACAATTCAGCTTTTCACTACAATGAATCAATACCAAGTGCAGTCAAATTCTGGCTCTATCTTATATTTCTCGTTCCATCAATTATCTGTTGCGTATTTCTTCTCTGCCATCTTTTATGGAAGCGAAATTTACATCGTGCTGTTCATAATCATGCAATTATTTTTTTTCTTATCATTTGTTTAATTCATGAAATAACAATTTATCCATGGATGCTTCATTTTTATAACAAAGAAGGTACATGGAAAAGAACATCTTTCTTCTGTACTGTCTGGTTATTTATTGACTGGGGACTTTATTATACTCAAACGATACTTTTTGCATGGGCTACAATTGAAAGACATATTCTTATTTTTCATGGTAGGTGGGTTTCAACAAAAAAGAAACGTTTATTAATACATTATCTTCCTCATATTATATTAGTCCTCTACTGTCTCATCTATTATATTATTGTCATATTTTTTCCACCTTGTGAAAATATTTTCGATACTTATAGTTTGATTTGTATCAAACTTTGTTGGTATGCATCTTCTTCATTACTTTACACATATGATACAATAGTTCATCAGATTTTACCCATTTTAATTATTGTTGGGTTTAGTATTGGTTTATTAATACGTATTCGTTGGCAGAAGCATCGAATAGGTCAATTATTAAAATGGCGAAAACACTGGAAAATGACACTTCAATTGTTGTTTGTCTCGGTCATTTATCTTATATTTGGTTTACCATTGACAATCATGAGCATTTTGTATCTGGGTGGTGTACCACTTAATGTAACTGCGAAATTTGCAGAATATGCACTATTTTTTAATTATTGTACAATAATTCTTTGTCCTATTGCTTCTATCATATCATTGCCCAAATTAAGAAACGAGAGGAAGAATATGGCACGATCGCGACGTCAAGCAAGGGCTGTGGCACCAATAACATAGATTGAAAACTACAATATTTAATCAAACATTTGCTTTAATAATCAATATAGTTTCGTAATTATTCTTGTATTGTATTATTGTAATATACTTTTAAACACATTATGTATTGACAAATACAAAATCAGATTCTTACATATACCAGTTGAGTTGAAACTGATCAGAATTCGAATTTGATAGAGTAAGTTTAATGAAATTTTACATTAATGGATTGGCATGTTTCGTATGAAATTGAAATGCCTTTTCTCTTAAACTGGCTCAACTGTTTGTGAATGTGATTAACAGTACTTGGTACAAGCTAATGGTTGAATGAAATGGAATCTTACGTCAATGATCTCTTGAATTTTGTTTCAATTATTTTCTCATATATTTATGCACTGTGTTTAAATAGATAATGAAATCTCTATCTTCTGTTGATAGTTTTTTTAAAATTTATTCGCATCAAACATAATCATCAGACTCTCTTATTGGTAATTAAATTATCGTAGAAATCGATTTTATAATTGGGTGTTTTAGTATGTAACAATTCAATAAATTCATTGTCTACATGTCGTTCCATTGTGATTTCTTGAAAAACCTCTGATGTTTGAATCTAAATGAATATTTATAATTCGAAGTGATGAAACTAATTCATTTTTTTAGTTACTGTTAGAAAATTAAATTTTGTTGTGAATAGCGCAATACTTGGTAAATTTTTTAAACCAATTTTAACGATAAATCGAGTTATTTTTAGTGTTTCAATAGCTATAGAAAATAATAAGACTTTAATCAAATGAATATAATTTATTACCATAACGAATAAATGTATAGAGTGTTTCTATTCCGTAACCTTTATGTCGTGCTGCTACTTCAGCAATCATGATTTCAATTTCACCACAATGAACATCATCTGGATCATTTAAAAATAAATTCACATCACCAATCATCGATTCTATACAGTTTACTAGTAGATTTCGAAACATTAATAAAAAATATTTTGTTTTTACCTATTTCATCATGTGTTCGATCAAATAATTCTTTTGATAAAATAATAAATGTACATTTATCTTTATCATTTAACCATGTCTGTTGCATTTCATATTCTTTATCAATACTTAATGGTAATGAAGCAGTTAGTTCTTGTATTTCTTCATTTTCCATCCATGTATGATATCTAATCGAAGAATAAAATTTAATGAAATACGATTTGTTAATTTTTACTTTTTTACATGATGTTTTCCATAAGGAACAAGAAGAATTGTTCGACCGAGTAAAACAGTATTTGAATTGATATGCATTATTGATTTATAGTAGCATCCTTTAGATATTATCTTCCTTAGTTAATCTATAAAAATAAATGTCATAAAAAAAATCGAATGACTGTGACTGATACTTTCTTATAGATATTAGATACAACGATCGACAGTAACGATATGAATGTCAACTATATGCTACTTGCTGAAAAAATTCCAACTAGAATTTCCAGCATTGAATTTTATTGAAGAAAAACAAAAATAGTTATGTTTAACATTTTATCAATATTTCATGACAACCTGAATAACCGATCTTTATTTAATAAACAATAAAAGATATTCTAATCAGAATATTAGCCAAACACTCAGATTGAAATGATTTTAACAAGCTATTAAAAAGAAATAGCAGATTGAGTTCATCAACATTCAATAATCATTTACTTAATAATTAAAGTTCTAGAACTTGCGTTAATGTATACGATCGTATAGAAACTGTTGACGCAGCGTATTTTATCATCACTCAGACCGATGTTTTACAACCGTACACGATATAACTATAGTGTTCTAAATTTAAGATGAAAACTACAAATAGCTGTAACCCATACTCATGGAAAGAAGTTGAACTAAAAAAAATAAATTAACCTGTTGATAGACTAAAACAAAAATGTGAGAGATCAAATATGAATGATACTCTTATGATTTACAATACAATATCATCGTTAAATATTGCATATTTTGTTAAGCTGTTGTTTATTACGATTATTAGGAAACTCATCGTTAGGTAATTTTTAATAAAAATTATGACTACTTGAAAATCAAACTGATACTACTAATTTTAATTGTATTCTTTATGGTCCATTAATCGTGTTTCTTGAACTTGTACAGAAAGAAATATGTATCAGCTTGATTGATATTTTCTTTTGAAAAAAGATCGAGTTGATATTATTTATATGAATTTCAAAAAAAATAGTTCTTGAACAATTCGAATATTAAAAATTAGTCAAAGATATCATCGATGTTTTAAAACAACATAAATCTCATTTTCATAGTTTAATTGAACAAACTCGTGAATTTATTTCTGTCGTTACTTGCTTTTTCTTGTTGTATCGGAATAAAAAAAAACTAGCATGGGAACTAACCTAACTGGTACTTGCGATTTAAGCAAATATTATGCCCACAACAAATTCTCTATATGACTAGAAAAAATTTTGAAATTTTCTTGTGCAGAAGTCTTTAAAACCGAGTCATGAATGGTTTAGTGAATTTTTGATCCATTTTCAAATATCAGCTAGAAAATGAGATATCTCGACAACGACATATTTTTTTCGGCTGAAACTTTCAGGATACTTTTAGAGTAACGAGATCTCTCTAATGACAAAATTTTAAATCGAAACTCAATTATTCAATTTTTCGGCAAATACCTAGATCGGGATTGAAAATTCACTAAAGCAATCATAGCTCGACTTCTGGACATGAAGCCTTTTAGGATTTTTCCAGTCTTACCGAAACATTCTTGTAAACACAATATGAGTTCAAATAATTCCTTCATTAGATGAAAAACTAAAAGAAGTATAGACTACAAATGAAAATAATGCATTTCATTTGTTACTTAATAAAGATGTCTTATTGCTTGATGATGGTATATCAAAATTCTTCACCCTGCGCTTATTTAATCAAAATGAAGGATATCAATTCAAATAAACTAAATGAAAAAGTGAAACTATTTTTGTAATAATTTTCTCAGTAAAGAATTAGTTAATTACACTATATTTGGCATGACAAATAAGAACTAAACATGATTTTTTTTTTACAATCTTGATGAATTCATTCACTGAATTAATAATAACAAAGAATACTTGTTTCGTACAAAGCAAAATAATGTGGCTATCATCCTTTACTAAGAAAATTAGAAACTTCAATTTTTCTGTCATTTGGTTTGCTGAAGATTATAATAGTTTTGTTAATTTTAACAGCTTATCCTTCATGAACCATTACTTATTTAGAGGTATGATTAATAGTATACATGTTCAAATTAACTTCATATATCAAGTGAACTAGATTTTCCTTTTTTACATCTTCATTGATATCAGTTAAATATATCATAAATTCTGATTTTTAAAATTAATGATAATCTAATTTAATTACAAATTTACCGTTATTCTTGCTCAGATTTACTACTATTGTATATATTCATTCAAGATCTGTAGTAAAAAATTCAAGAGCATTTTCTTGTATTCATATGTGTACTTTCGATTGAATCAAACGAGGAGTTTTTCGAAAAACATAAAATTTAATAAATTATCGATGCATCCATTTTGCAGTGTGTATTCAGATGAGTCATTCAGCTTGAAACATAAAATTAAAGAAGATCATTTATAGGTTAATTGAATTATTCAATACGGTTTTTTTCTTGTATTCAAAGATAATATGTGATTAATCGAACTTTATCAAAATGCTTCACTATAAAATAATATTTTATTTATATAATAGACTTGAAGATAGCAAAATATAGATCGAGATAATAGCGTCCTCTGTCAACTTTTTTTTCTCATAAAAATACTAGTCCTGAAAAATTTTCGAATATCTTTTCAAATGGACTAAATAGAACTACAAATTTTAGTCACATTTATTACAAAGTGTGTTAGCCATCATCTGTAAAATCCTAGAGAATTCAAAATTTTGTAGACAGATTGCGACATTGTTTATGCGCTGAATTTATGACTTTCTAGCAATGACTTCTATGCTACAATTTAGATATTGAAAAATACTAAATTTAATTTATAATCGAATTCAATACATTGTATAGCACCTTTTTATAATTCTAATTTTTAAGTCAAAAACGTTTTTCTTGTACTACCCTCTATAAATTTTGCCATAGTATATTCATTGGAAGGATGACGACAAACTTATTTCGAACATACATTGTTTTAATAATACCTTAATGTGTTGTAGCAATTTGTAAGAGTTATATTAACTATATGAAAACAAAAGCACTTAATAGCTACTCGTATATCATCAGAGAGTTTCTTTCAATAAATAAGAAAGCCCTTTCTAACAGAGACATCTATATCAATTTATTTTGTTACAATAAGAAAATCCTACAAAATTTTATATGATATATTCTAGAATATAAAATAAACATTATTATTGTACACTCCTCTTCGACCAATGTCGTTTTTCGATACTCGTCTCTAATTATTAATTAACAGTATGGTAAAAATTTTAGAGGGACTTCATAACACAAGTTTTTGGTAACAATAATACGTTAAAAATATTCACCGACAATGAAAAGCATTACATTTTATTGTGAATTAAATTTAGAATCTTTTGATGTTGTAGTTCTAACATAGAAGTCGTTGTTCTAAGACCATAATCAAGGCCATAGATAAACATGGAATATGAAAATAAAAACATGAATTATTCAGTGTGTCTGGCAGCTGACGAAATTCAAAATGTTGCACTGAATTCACGTCAATTGTTGTTAATTTGAACAATCAATAATCTCAAATTTTTACACAATTTGATTTACTTTATTCTAAAACTCGAAATTTTCAATCGAAACTTTGTTTAACAAATAGAAATTATAGAATGAAATAAAAAGAGAAGAAATCATTTGATTAATAATCGTCGAAATTTTTCAAGTGATCAATGATAATTATTTAACTGACTTTTATAAATTTTGAAAAAGAAATGCTAAACGAGTATATTAAATCAATCTATGTTTAATATCACAATGATTTAATCGTAATTATCAAGTAAAACAAGCATTTATCTTACCTTATTTCTGATCAATTACGTGAATATTCATACTCCAATTCAATATATAAGTTAACACATTTTTTTAACAAAATAATGATGATAACATTGGTAAATGGGATGATAAATCTAACCAATTTATCAAAATTAATAACTTTAAGAAATTCCTAATGAATTATATTTGTATTTTATTACTATCCCATAACATTTTATGTAAAAAAAAAATAAAAGAACAAACAAAGAAATTTCTATCTGTTTTTTTTTTAAATTTTTGTTTTATGAGTGTATTTTAATAAGAGGTAATATTGAACCACAACGAGTAGAAATTTTTAATTGAGCGGCATGATCACCACGTGTACGACCAATATTAATAATAGCAATAGGTAGTTGATGTTGTTGTGCAGCAAGAATAAAACGATAAGATGACATTACTTCGAGTGATGAACCAGCGACTAGAACAGAATCACTTTTACCTAATTGTTCCTTTATAAAAGCAACTAAACGACGATCAACATTATCACCAAAAAATGTTACATCCGGTTTTACTCGACCAGAACATCGAGGACATCGAGGTGGCTAAAATGTATAAGACAGTTGCAAAAAAAAAAATATTTATAAGATTTCTATCTTGATGTACCTTAAAATCACCTAATTGTTCTTCAGTTAAATATACATCAGCATCTGGATTAATAGTATTTGAGTATGCTTTCCAATTAGGATTGTGATTGAGTATAATTTGTTGTAATTGTTCACGTGTAAGATCTTTATAACCACAATCAACACAAACAACTCTTGCACTACAACCATGTAATTCACTTAATAGTTCACATCCAGCTTTTGTTAATAGACTATCTACATTTTGTGTGACATGCCAAAATACCTATTAAAATATAAAAAAAAACAAAGAAAAAACAAGATGTTTTTCTTTTATGTTTTCATCAATAAAAACTAACTTTTCTTTGTACTTCCCAATTAGCAAATGTTTTGTGAGTTTCATTAGGTTGAAAAGCAGAAAACGTTGGCCACCCGATATAATTTCTAGCCCAATACATTCTATATCTTTTTGAATTAGTTAAAAATTCTTGATACATCCTATTTCAAAACAAATCTATTAATGAAAAGAAAATAGATTTATTTTCTTACATTGGACGATTTGTAGTTCTTGCATAAAGTCCAACACCTTCTGATCTATAATCTGGTATACCTGATTCAGTTGAAATTCCAGCACCTGTTATAATAAATAATCGTTTTGCATCTGATATAAATTTTTGCAGTTTATTAACATCATC